GCTCATTAGCATCTTTTTTCAGAAAAAGAAATTTAAGGGTTGCAAGAAACAGGTGATCAATTATCATTCCAAATATGACACAAGAATTCATTTAAAATGCATAATAATCAAATGGTAAGAATCGGACTGGCACTAGGTATAATTTTTTACCGCACCCCCAAGCAGAATGCATCTAGTATATTATATATTTAACAGGTATAATGGGGGACAGGGCGGGGCGGGGCGGGGGCAGGAGCGGGGGTAAGGGTAAGTTTATCCCCACCTTCATTCCTGCACGGGTTTATACAGGTATCTTCGTATACATCTACCGTCTAATACATATAATCCATCCCAGTGCAAACGGAACGAATTTGGATGAATATTCGTTTTTCTCCTGGTCCACTACCATCCCTAGTTATTGTATTACATGGAGAGGGTGATTACTAAATTGTGGGATCAACTTACTCATTTATAACTTTATTATTAGATGTTGACACCACTTGACATTGATAATATGTGATTTCACCGCTACATTAAATATTTTCTCATAAATTATAATATAAGTTCTATGATTATAATATGTTTAATTTACGCTCTAATTAATTTTGATAATATATATTCCACTTGTCGTGTTTTATATATATTTAATCGAGTTTAAGTCTACTTAATTATTTAAAAGGTTAATTTTTTTATCATTTGACTTTAATAAAATTGAACCAAGTTAGGTTCATGTTGGACTCGTAATTCGAGTTTAAATTATCAAACTAAATTAGGAGGGCTACTAGCGGTGTGGTTAGGGGTGTCTATGGCTCAAGGTTATTCACAGATCTTGTTAATTGGCTCGAAAAAAATAAGTTTGAAATCCGATAGACTTAATAGTTGGCCCTCTGAGTCCGAGCCCAATATTCTTAAAAGGAGCGCTTGTGTTTGCCCCCAAAACCATTACTCGGCCTAAAACCTGGCTCAAGAGCCCACCTGCTAAGCCCAGCCCCGCCCACCATTCAGTCGAAAAAAAGTTATACTTTTAGACTATTAAATTTGAAATTTTGAAATAAATCTCTCAATATTGGAATTTGAAGTTTTAAATTTTAAATACTATATAAATAATGTATTATTTTTTTACATATATCATACAAGTCTTAAAAAGTAGAGTAATGCAATGACAGATAAGTGAGCTGATGTCAATTTAGTTAAGATGTATTCATTCTATTAGATGTAGTTCATTTTTTAATTAAAAATAAAATTATTTATTATTTTATTTTTATCCATTTTAACTCTACTTTTGATTCAAAAATATAATTTATACAAATATTAAGTTACAAAAATATTTATTATTTTTAAATAAAATTAAATATAAAAAAATTCACGAACAGACCCTCCCAATAGGCTCGCGGATTGGACTGTGAGCAGTCTACCCGTACTCAAAACTTGGTCCGATCAGCAATTAATTCATTTGGGTAAAGACTTGAGCCTACGTTACCCAAATCTCACCCAAAATTTTTTTGCGAGCCTGGCCCATTGTGGCCTAGGGACACCCCTAGGTGTGGGATTAGACTCGCACAAATGGTAAATTCATATGTTTTTAGTTTAATCCTCGCTAATATCTCTGAGCTTGTCTGATCCAAAATACTTTGAGGGCGAATGTAGGTATTCAAACTTACCTCGGATGGACATGTCCAACGTGACCTTACTTGGAGCTAGGGATGTCAATTTTTGACTCGAATACAAATCCGATTTAAACCAAACTAAAAAATAACACGATTTATTGATACGAGAAATAAATAAGTCCAATTAAAGTTCGACACGAATAACACGATTAATGAATACTGTAAATAAAAAATAATTATTTAATGAGTATTTTAGATATAAAATAAGAATTTTATAATTTTTTAAATAGTATTTTATTAGTCGTTGTCAAATTAAATAATTTTTTATTAACATGAATATTGACACGAACCCGACATGTACTAAAAGTGATACAACACAAAAATGACACAATCGAAAGTGACACAATACAAAATTAATACCACACGACTCGATTGATACCCTTAATTAAAGGGATTCGCCCTTGACAAAAAAAATATTAAAAATTAAAAGGTGGGAGGGTATTTTGGTCCATTCAGATAAAAAGACATTGTTTTCCATGGAAAAGCGAGTTGTCCTTCACAGCATTAATGGCTGTTAAATGAAATGTCACGTTCAACCCTTTAACTTTTGAGATAAAAGAGAGAGGATTTGTAAAACTTTCTAGGAAAGGGATACAGTTCACAGTGGCAAGTACTTGAAACTATTTCCATGAAAATCCCTCTTATTTCCTCAGCATTGAAGTGTTTTATTGTGCAAGACCAAATACTTTTTCTTGGAAAGGAAAACCTTTTCCCTTGTTAAGACTTATTAGAAAGTTGGATCTCGATCTGTGTATGTCGAGTTCTTTTTTTTTAAACAGACTTAAAAAATTATTTTAATTTAAATTATTTTAAAAAAATTATAATAGTTTAAATTATTTAAAAGAATTATACTAATTTTTCTGTCTCCTTTTAATTTTATTGAATGTCAAAAAAAAAAAATTCCTATTTTCAATGATTTGGTGGAATTTGATTTCATCAGCAGTGCAGCAGCAGTCAAATCTGAGTGTCTGGGGGAGATGATTTTCTTTTCCCCTTGTTGAGGAGAGTTGTAATCTGAACAGAGAGAACCAAAACGGAAAATCCAGGACATAATCAGTGGCAAAATGGGAACAAAAAATTATTTGACTTAAACGGGATGAGGGAAAAAATGATAAGGACATGGGGGTTCGTGCGAACCTCCTCGTTCATGACGGGGGTGAAAATAATTGATCCAACGAGGTGTCCCATCATATCCACGTAGGTGAAAAATTTAGAAATACCATCCATGGACAAGTTTATTGAGTACTGTACCACTAAATTTTATAATTTTATAATTTTTAATAATTTTTTTAATAATTTTTTGAGTTATTTTATAATAAAAAATTTTAAAACTTTTTATAAATATTTTTATAATTTCTGTGATTATTTTTATCACTTTTATAGTATTTGTGATTAATCGGTATAATTTTAGAATTAATTATAAATACCACAAAATAGTAAAAACACTAAAAAAAATTATAAAAATACTCTCAAAAATTATAAATGACGATACACTACTATTTTTTTTTTTGGATATTTGTTGAGTAGTCCTCTTTATCATAATATTAAAATTATTATTTTATAATTGATAATAAAAAAATTCAATCAGTTATAGCTTTACTTGTAAAACGTGTAACTTAAATTTTAAAAGTTTTTATTTTTTGTGATAATTTTTAATATTTTGAAATCCATTATGGCATTTACAGTTATAATTTATACTTTATAAAATTATTTTGTGATTGTGAAATTTTATAATTTTTAGTATAGTGACTTCCTCGTACTATAGTCTTCCTCAAAATTTAAGGTTAGTAGCATAAGAAAAAAATTTCATCCACACTCTAATAATATATGAGCAATAATATCAAAATTTAATTTTAAAGCCTAATACGAACCATTGAGGTAATTAATAACGAGCCTCATCCGTAAATGACTTTTGCTATCAATTTAATAAACACAATTTATTTAAAATGGTCTTTATAGAGAACATAATTGATTATATATTGGACTTTTAAGAATATTGAGTTTGGTATCTCAACTTAATTAATATTTTCAACTCAACAAAACATTTGCCCCAATGTTTTTGGAGTCTTGGCTGCATGAATATTGTTTTGTCATTAAATTATATTAAGAATCATGTTTTTAGTAAAATCGTAAATTATCATATATTTATTTATTATTTCATTTAATAAATTTTTATTTTCTTCTATCTCTACCTTTATTGTCAATAACTATCAAATTACTTTTTTTTTTCTCACCAATGTAATAATATATCATCTATAAATATGTCTAAATTATCTAAATAAATTATCTCTTAATTATGTCCTATATTTGTCGTATCTATTTTTCCCCACCAGATATATTCGTTCTTAACCTTGTATTTTCTAAGTTTACTACATATTCATCTTAATATTTTCAATTCCACCACACTTAATTTTTAAATATATTAGTTTTTACTAAAATAATCCTGAATGGTATTTTCTTTTTCAATTATAGCAGTATTTGAAATAAACATATAAAATAGAAGAGGGTATAGTGTTGTTTTAGATAATAAAAGGGTTGTACTTAAAAAAAAATAGAATAAATTACATATATGATCCTCTATTAAATTTCTTGAACTTTTCTAATTGTCAATTGAACATTTCTCCATTAGTTTTTCTAACAAAAACTGCCGAAGTGTGCCACTTATGTAATATAAGTAGTTGGAGAAAATTATACATATAACTCTCAAGTTATGACCCTTGTATCAATTAAGTATTCGAACATTTTTTTTGTTTTAATTGAGTTCCTGAATTCTCTAATTGTGTCAATTGAATCATTTTATCTTTTTGTATTATATAGTCACGTGAGTAACATACTTTATACTTTAACGGAGGTAGATAAAAATGTTCAATTGACATAATTAAAGAGTTCAGGTATTCAATTGACACAGAAAAAAAGTTTCAGAACTCAATTGACACAAATATCATAGTTTAAGAGCTATATGTGTAATTTATACTTAAAATATGATAATCTAAATGTAAATTGATGGAATTTTGTCTAATTTTTTTTTTTTACCTTCACAGCTATTTTTTTTTTTACTACATATTTACTCAACTACCAAAGCATTTGATCCAAAAAAAAAAAACCTACCAAAGCAGGAATCTTCTCTAACATGCACTTTACGCGCACTACGAACCTGATCTTTTACCTCCAAGTCCAAGGAATCCACTCCATGTGCAGTGTACACGTGTCAAAATCTAAGAGGGAATGCGCAAATCACCCACAGTTGAGGTTAGGTGCTACCCGTCTGCCATTTCTGTCAGCTTCAGCTAATTTTTTATACAAATAATTTTATATATTTATTTACTTCATTTTCAGCTCTTTTTTGCTATAATACGCAAGTGGTGGTTCAGCGTCCTCTTTGGCTCTTCGGGTGCTGCAAGGCTGCAAGCTTCCCACCAGGTAAGAGAGAGAAACTCACAGCTTTTTTGTTCTTAGCCTCAACCCTTCAATAATTGTCTACGTTTATGATTATTTATGCCCACCGATATATACGTATGTGTATATAGGTGTGTTAGTGTTGGCTTTTTCTTTGTTCATTTGGATGAGTCTTCATTGAGCCTCTTCGGTGGTGGATCTCTGAGTTTCAGTATGTAGTTCAGCTAGCTCTCTCTCTCTCTCTCGCGCTCGCTCTTTGTTTTTTTATATGTTTTTGAAAATGTGTCTGAGTTTCAGAGGATTGTTATTATATGCAAAGCCTATTTGCTTTATGTAGACAAGAAATCCGGAAAGACCCATGATTTTTTTTACTTCTACTTGAAATGTTTCTGTACATGGTGCCTTCATGAGCTGCACCAGTTACAAATAGATCAAACAAGCATTGTTTTGTTTTGAATTTTGATAGATTGTTGATTGGTTTTTAGGCTATTTTATGTTCCTCGGTTTTATAGTTCTATCTCTTTTCGTATTTATTCACATTTCTAACATTATTTGTAGTTTTTCCTTTACTTTTCATATGTTTCTGGAAAAAGTAGCAGATTTTGTGGCTTACCTCCTATTTCACTCTAGCATTTGCTGTGTGTGTGTGTTTTTTTTTTTTGCTTTGAAATAGGTTTGTAAAATATTCTGTCATTGATTGTGTTCTTGTCTTAGATTTTGAGCTCTGCATCCGATGGATTCGATTTCAAAAAAAACCAAGGACTCACCCAACTCAACCGACTCGCCCGAGTCAACTCACCCTTCTTCATTCCCAGACGAGGTCTTGGAAGGAGTTCTTTCTCTTCTTTCCTTCAACAAAGACCGTAGCTCAGTCTCACTGGTTTGCAAGGATTGGTACAATGCTGAGAGATGGACAAGAACCAAAGTCTTCATAGGAAACTGCTATTCAGTGTCACCAGAGATAGTTGCAAGAAGATTTCCAAAGATTAGAAGCATTATTTTGAAGGGAAAACCAAGGTTTTCAGACTTCAATCTGGTGCCAGAGAATTGGGGTGCTGATATACAATCTTGGCTTGTTGTGTTTGCAAGAGTATACCCTTTTCTTGAAGAGTTGAGATTGAAAAGAATGACTGTGAGTGATGAAAGTTTGGAGTTCTTAGCCGCGTCCTTTCCGGGTTTTAAGGCTCTTTCACTCTCGAGTTGCGATGGATTCAGTACTGATGGACTCAAAGCTATTGCAACTCATTGCAAGTAAGCTTCTTTATTGTTTTAATTAAGCACTGTTTCATGTTTATTGACCTTTGGATTAGTTTGTGTTTCATTGCATTTTAGAATTTAATTGTGAAATTCCTGGTTCCGCAAAATGGGTTTTGCTTGGCGTGAGATCTGATCTAGTTTCTAGGAAAAAAAGGCATGAAAAATCTATATTTTTACTCTGAATTTTAGTTTTATTCCACTGCATATATAGCTTAGCTTTGATTGAGAGACTTTTTAGTTTCTGTATACTGGATTATATGTTTGGCAAGAGATCTGATGAGATTATTAGAGAAAAAAAGGTACAGTAGTTTTATATGAATATGAAATTGTTGTTAAAGTTTCCTGTTTGATGTGGTGGACAGGTTTGAGAATTAAATGGGGAAGTAATGGCTGGTGTTTCTTGTTTTTACTGTAAAAAACAGAGTTCTAGTGGAAATTGAAGTGCTTCTACTTTATGATTTCTTTTTCTCTTCTTTTTTCTGTTGCTTTCTTGATGTGACGTTGGACCTATTGGTGAGCATTTAATGGGTGGTATATTACTGATGTCATACCTTACACCTATCCTCAATTTCATTGTGCAAGAAACTCCACTTCTTAATTTGCCATGGAAAGCTATTCATTTGGTCAGAGGTGGTCGAACAATGCCACACTCGATCAAATTCTTTGTCAAAATTTGCTTACGAAATCAATTTTTTATTTCTTATCAATAGAATATCCTGATCCAATCACCCATGTTCATTTAATAAACTAAATTTGGCGAGATTTTGGTATATGCATTGTTGCTCCTACTTGTCGACTTCCTGTGATATTATTGTTTCTTTTGTTCAACTTGAACCTTGTATCTAGTTCTTGAGCTGTCAAATGTTCTCATTTAATTGATCTAGTAAGGATGGGTTTGTTCTGAATAAACATGATACTTCATGGATGGGTTGACCAGTAGCACTTATTCTATATGGCAGTGTCAATTGTTTTTGCAAATCGTAGATTCTCTATGTAAGTGTTGTGTGAGATGCTATGGCCATTGCTTCTTTCTGTGCAGTGGAGAAGCAAAAGTATAGAATAAAGTAGGACATATGTGCTAGATTTTCAGAATAAATAAATTTGGTTAAGCAATTAATTATATGAGCATATCCTTATTGCATTTGCGTACAATGATATCCAGTGTATCTTTAAACAGCCTATTGGTCGATTGTTCTTTATCTTTGGTCTTCTCGTCACCATTCAGCACTTGTTCTGAAGTATCATTTGTTCCCCCTTATCCTGTCAACACCTGACTTTCTTTTGTATCTATTTGTTCCATTCAAAAGTTCCTGACTCCATCTGGCACTATAGCATGGCAACTTGAAGTTTCCTCAAGCATAAATTTGATTGGCCCATCTCCATCATATGCCTTTAGCTCCCCATTTGTTGCAATTTGTATTTTCAACTTAGTGTTATGACGAGTGTTGCAGAATCCTAATTGGTTGATCGATGTTATTCGATTGATCAACTGAATCAGAAATGTAGCTGAGAAACAGAAAAATGAACTAGGTCAAAAGAAATAAGATTTGCAACTTTAAACAGAAATTGTTTTTACACTGAACTGTAGCAGTTTTATATGTCTCAGTTTTGTGTTGTGTTTTCATATATTCTTAGGTTTCTGACAACTGGCCTAGTAAATTAAGGTTTTTCTTTGCTTTTTGTTTCTTTTTCCCACTCTACCATTGGTTATGTTGAATTTGCTTTTAGAATTTAAATTTTGATTTGGCTTGCAGGAACTTGATTGAGCTCGACATACAAGACAATGGCATGGATGATTTTGGTGGGGGTTGGTTAAGTTGTTTTCCTGAAAACTTTGCATCATTAGAAGTGCTAAACTTTGCCAGCCTGAATAGCGAAGTTAATTTTGATGCCCTTGAGAGACTTGTTACCAGATGCAAATCATTAAAGGTTTTGAGAGTTAATAAGGGCATCACCTTGGAACAATTACAAAGGCTGCTCATGCGGGCTCCTCAGTTAATGGAACTTGGTACTGGCTCCTTTCAGCAAGATCTCACACCTCGCCAGTGTGCAGAGCTTGAAAGTGCTTTCAGTAACTGCAAAAATCTGCACACCGTCTCAGGTTTATGGGAAGCTAATTCCCTCAACCTTCCCATTCTATACCCAGCTTGTGCCAGTCTGGTCTTCTTGAATTTAATTGATGCAACTCTACAAAGTGGTGAGCTTGCCAAGCTTCTGGCCCACTGCCCAAATCTACGGCGCCTCTGGGTAGGGTACTTTCTTACATAGCAGTACTTATCTTTGTGATCAAATCCTCCATCTAAGAAGATTTTTCCTTAAGTTTCTTTTTGATAATATTGCATAAATGAAAACATAAAGAAATCATTGGACTTTTGACTTCATGGGCTGAACTTGGAGTTACAGACCCTTGATTCATGCTCTTGCTAAGCAGAGAGTCACATTTCTATGTCAACTTTAAGTTGGAATGCTCGCCGTTCTGGTTTGCACTCGTGATCATGTAATCAGATTATTGCCATCATAGGTTTCCTTGGTGAGCATTCATATATGGAATCTGCCACCTGATGTGTTATGTAGATATGTCAGTGCATGGATTAGATTCTTCTTTCCTCTTCAGATTTTTCTTTGCTTTTTATATTCCTTCAGTGTTCTGTTAAAAGTACGCTCATTTGTTGTTGAAGCACCAAGCATGCGAGTGACTTAAACTGAGTAATTCAGCCGAATTACTCCTAATTGTCTACTTGTCTCTGCAGAGCTTGTGTGTTTTGGATCTTCTAATCTTTGTAATAACTTTATGGTAAAGGTCCAGGACACGGTAGAAGACAAGGGGCTAGAGGCTGTTGGATCCTGCTGTCCCTTGCTTGAGGAACTTCGTGTCTTCCCTGCAGATCCCTTTGACCCGGATATACTCCATGGGGTGACTGAATCAGGTTTTGTGGCTGTGTCTCGTGGATGCCGCAGGCTCCGTTATGTCCTCTACTTTTGTCGGCAGATGACTAATGCTGCTGTGGCAACCATAGTTCAGAATTGCCCCGATTTCACCCATTTCCGCCTCTGTATAATAAATCCTGGCCAGCCAGATCACCTGACAAATGAACCTATGGATGAGGCTTTTGGTGCTGTGGTGAAGACTTGTACCAAGCTCCAGAGGCTCTCAGTTTCAGGCCTGTTAACTGACCTTACATTCGAGTATATTGGGAAGTATGCCAAAAACCTGGAGACTCTTTCGGTTGCCTTTGCTGGCAGCAGTGACCGGGGAATGCAATGTGTACTGGGAGGCTGCTCCAAGCTGAGGAAGCTTGAGATAAGAGATTGCCCATTTGGGAATGCAGCACTGCTATCAGGGTTGGAGAAGTATGAATCAATGCGGTCTCTATGGATGTCAGCCTGCAATGTGACGATGAATGGATGCAGGCTATTAGCGAGGGAGATGCCATGGTTGAATGTGGAGGTAATGAAGGATGAGGAAAGTGATGACAGTCATGCTGATAAAGTTTATGTTTATCGTTCTGTAGCTGGGCCAAGAAGGGATGCCCCACCTTTTGTAATGACACTCTGAATCTAGAAGGAAAGGAATTCTTGGTTAGCTCTTTCTCTCTTTCCTTTCCCCTCTAATACAACCCCCCTCCCCAACCCCAAGCCCAACCCGACCTGGGGCATGCCTACATTTTTTAGCATAGATGTGTGCAATTACATGTGCAGATCCACATATTTGAAACATGACCTGCTCTTCGCTGGTGTGTAGAATTAAGATGTGGGTACTCATCTTTCCTAGGAAATTTCTCTCAAATTATTTTTTTCCTGTTTGGAACCTAATGTTTCCAATCAAATAGGGGAAAAAAAAAATCTTTGTTTAAAATTCTCCGGTCAATGTCTTCAGCTTCAAAAGTGTTAGATGTGGGTTTCATCAAGATGTGTATGTAATCGTTTCTTTCAATAATCCGTGCTTCTAAATTTATTATCATTTCAACCTTGCAGGTTTGATGGTGGAAAACTAACCTCCAATTGGCACCGAGTTTGGGATTCATATAATTGAATGTAGTAAAAGAACACGACCATGGGGACTGTGAATTAGAACACGACCATGGGGACTGAATTAGAATCTGTCTTTGAACTGTATTTTCCCTTCTTTAAATGGTTAACCAGGAAATATAAAGCAGCAAGACACAAAAAGGAGAGAGCTTATGTCATTGACGCCTCCAAAACAGGTGTCTAGTTGGCCTCGACTGCTGGATCAATTGTACCCCTGAACCGAAAACTAAGAATGCTGGGGTGCCCGGTGGATCCGGAACCGGAACCGGAACGAAATAGAAATTGTCCCTCAAAAAGTCAACCGTACATGCCACAATGCATCATTGAACACTAGTCCCACGTGATACAAAGCGATGAACTCCAAATTTAATATGCACAATACATATGGGAGTCAACGAGATTAAGCACCTATATTCCAGGAGAAGTACTTCCTGCCAGATTGACACAATGAAATGGTGGAGTATGTTGATTTTGGAGGAGCAGCGCAAAGGGAAATGCAATGTCAAGAAAGTGGGAGTTAGAGGTTGGGGTGGCAATGGGAAGAAATCGTGTCTGCTGGTGGATATGTCCTGGAGTCTTGGTTGTTCCAGAGTGTCGCTGTAGTGGCTGTTTGTGGAAGCATATTATGAGCTTTTGGGGATACCTTATTTGTGAGATTCACTTTGCAAGTATGATTGATCTTGATCAACCTTGATGAACAGTGTTCTCAAATTTTGTCTTGGTTAAGCTGGGGGAGATGTATAATCTATGCAATATCTCAGATACATTATTCTTTATGTCTCGGGTAGACTATATGCTGTCTCTTGTTCGTTGCTTTTTCATACTCTTTGTTGGTGTTTCACTTCCCATTTATGCTTGTGATGCAAAAGTGCTTGTAATTTTCATGCATCCACACCCTCAAGCTGGTCATGCTCATTTGAATGAATCAGTTTACAGACCAGGCTCAGGTTTTGGAAACCAGTCTTTTCCTTAGTGTTAAGCCCATTGATTCACCAACTTTGTTTGTGGATAACTCTGGATTAGAATCAGGTCATGATTTGGTGTTGACCGGGCTAGGTCTCGGTGGGCCTGGTAGGTATCATCTGGTTAAAATGAAGCCCAAAGTTTTGTTCTGGGCAGCTGGGGCAGTTGTGGGAATGGTGGATGTTGGATTTGTGTCATGTCATAATTTGTCACTCTTACCACCTAGCTGTCTACTCCACTTAGATATGCAATTATTCACTTGCTTGTTGAACCTTATAATTTGATTATGGAAATCATGTCCTTCAAAGGATCTAGTGTCCCCATCCCATCACTATACTAGGACTCTATAAAAAACACAGGCAATCAGCAAAGCTATGCTACATTCATTGAGTTATGATTAACCATGATAAAATTTACTTGAACATTTGACTGTACAATTTGGAGGGTCCAAGCCATCATCTCTTTCTCTCTCTCTCACACACACACACACATAATCAATTGCTTAATGTAATGAGGTCAGAAACACTCTCCTAGTCATTAACCAAAATCATGATTTTATGGGTAACCCAGTCACATGGCTTGCGGTATATGGACTGGCCCGGAGACCTGGGCTACAGATGTGCATGGGCTGTCAATTGGTAGGCCATGTTGGTCCGGCTTGACCTGGCCCGGCCCGATATTGACATCTGTCACTACCATTTAATTGGTGGAGGAGCATGTTCTAATCATGCCCAAAAACAAATAAGGTTGAAATTAATGATTGAAGACCATTCCACGTGTTGCACTGGCTCGGGACAGACAAAAGTTTATATGGTTAGAGTGAATTAATCAAAATCATTTTTAGGTGTGTGCAAATCCAATATCTTTTAGGGTAAATTTCATAAATCCACACGTTAAACTATCAACTTTATTTTAAAATGTCCCTTGAACTTTCATTTGTATCAATTCACTCCTTCAATTATGTAATTGATAACTTCCCGTTACTATTAGATGTTGAACGACACAAATTCAAACCCCAACTAATACTTATGTGCATCTCATATGTTTAAATTTGTGCCACAATTGAAACAACTTAAATAATTCAAGGAGTAAATTGAGACAAATGAAAGTTTAGAGGATATTTTTAAACAAAATCACAGTTTGAGGGGTATTTATAACATTTACCCTATGTTTTTTATATATATTTTTTTCGTTTTTGGGTGTTGATCTAGTGCAATCGGCAATTCGATGGTCCTTCAATGGCCACTAGGTTGATGAAGCACATAACTTTACTAGTCTAGCTCCACTGTATATTATTCTTTACTAGATTTAATAGTCAAATGGCTAAGGGTCCAAAAAAAGAAGATTAGAACAATATCTTTTTAGAGGAGTCTTTACCAACACTATTTAGAATCCATAATCCATCACATCAAAAGGTCAACTTAATAATGCGTTTGATTTGATGGAAAGTTGGACAGATGAAAAATAGAGAAGAAAAAATGGTATAAAAAGAAAGACTTTTCATTTTTCAATTACAAATAAAAAAAGAGGGAAAAGAAGATCGTATAAAAAGTGTTTTCCACTATTCCACTATTTTTTTTTTCTCTCAAAAGTGGGAAGAAAGTGATAGAAAAATTGAAGAGAACTTGGATAACTATCACAATAAAATATGAATAACTTCATACCGTAATAAAACATGAGAGAAAATAGAAAAAGTAGCATAATAAAATTTGCAAAGAGATTCACATGAATAGGAATTATCTCTAATAACAAACTTGTAGAATGGAGATTCGTCGTTATAGACCTTGTTTCACCTTAATTGTTAATAGAACAAGTAAAAGTTTTGTCTTTATCCGAATATACGTTCGGAGTCTATTGATGAGAAGGGACAAGAAAAAGCTTGAACCCAATTTCAACAGTAATGAATACGAGCGCAATTGAAATTCGTGTGGAGTTTCTCAATACTTAATGAAAAAGAATAAACCCATAAAAATTCTTTTTTTCTTAAAAAAAATTATACTAATTAAATCAAATATTTGTAATGTTTCTACAAAATAAACCAAATAAAAATAAAAACATGCAATCATTTTGCACATTGTTAAATTAATTACATGAGTTTTCAAGCACAGGTCTAGAAACTTTTTTAGTTCAATAGTCAAGGGTTTTTGGGCTAACTTATGTGCATATTGATTAATTCTCTCATTCGTCCGATTAAAGGTAGGCCATCCATGCTAGAACCAGGATATTCATGAGAGATTTATCCTTCATGGTCTGGTCTCAATGAATTATCAAGATTCAAACTCAAGACATTTGAATTTATAACTTGTATGAGAATAAATCCACACAGAGAGTAATCAACTAGTACAGACGGAGATGGTGGTGAGTAAGCCTTGAGTAACTTGCAAGACAAGAGAACACTAAAGTGAACTGATAGCCGGAGGTGGTCAAAGGGACTCTGATGCTTAAGTCAATAATCAAGTTGAAGAAAAAAGTGTACGGTGAATAGGCTAGGATTGAATGACATACCTGGTACCTGTAACCTTTATTTATAGCGACATAAGAAGTCATGTTCCAAGTAGAATCAAACCCATGTTTGTGATAGGATATGCCTCATCACCAATCTCCTAGATGTTCAAGGTAGAATCATACTGGGATGTTGAGTCCTGACTTGTAGGAAGAGATATGATCGTTGGCAAGCTTTGTTTATCAATATTTACTTGATACTCAGAGTTGAGTTTTACTAGGACTCTAGGTCCCGGGCCAAGGTGGATGCTGGGCAGAGGCGACGCTAGGATGAAGGGCGTGGTGACGCTAGGTGCATGTGACACTGGAGGTGGGGCAGCTAGCTGGGCGGCATCTTGGGCATTACTGGCGATGCCTGGAGGCTGAAAAGGTGCCTTGGGCGATGCTAGGAGGCTGGGCAGGCACCTTGGGTGACGCCTGGAGTGCTGTGGGCAACACTGAAGTGTTGTGGTCAAAGCTGGAGTGGTGCGGTCAACTTTGGTCTGTTGTGTGGGCGACACCAAACCTATAATTGTCCCTATACCTCCTTTAATGGAGTAAATTAAATGAGGTATAAATCGAACTGTCTTTTTCAAGTGAACTAGATTTGTAAATTCCCTTCCTTTTCTTTCATCCTTCACTTGGCTTTGAGCTTTTTTGGGAGGAGAGAGATATCTTGGAGCCTTAAAAATCGTTAACGCGACCATAATTGAAGCCACGACCGGCTAGAAATTTCATTTTTTGAGGTAATTTTTGAAAACTTTCCTATAGGCCCCAAGTATTACTCTTAAGTAGAAGGAACCCTCTGCTTCACTGTTTATCTTCTTCGACCAAGGGCTATGAGGATGATTTCATTATAGTGGGAGGCAACTGGGATTTTGGCCTTGACACTACTAATGACTGTTCTTGCCTCTGCACCATTGGGGAGCTAGGTTGGTAACTTATACCTTCTTGTTGTTTCTATACATTGCCTAATCTCCTGCTCCTTTTCTAGAATTACTTTTTTGTGTGCTTGCTCAACTACACTCGACATCCGTAGTATAAGGAAGCATAGTAACAATGAGGCTGTTAAATCCTTATACACCCCTTTGGAAGGTTTTGTGTATCAATGGTCCCTACAGGTAAGTTTTTTTTTTTTTTTTTTTTTTTTATCTTAAGTCTTTGAATTACAACCGTAGAGGTTGACTTTAAGTGGTGTAACCATAGAGGTTGACTTTAAGAGTGCAACCGTGGAGGTTGGCTTTAATGGTGCAACCATGGAGGTTGGCTTTAAGTGGTGCAATTGTGGAGGTTGGCTTTAAGGATGCAACCGTAGAGGTTGGCTTTAAAAGTGCACAAAGTTGTAAAGAACAAGCTTCTCTTTATTGATGATCCAGAACGAATGTTATTGTAGACTTATTGTAATGATAAGATATTATTACCTAGAAGTAAAACTTTCTAAGGTAGATGATATTCCAAGGCCGACGAACTAGTTTGCTATCTAGCTCCTCTAACCT